TATTTTCCCAATATTATCCCATCATTGTGAATTGAACAGTAATATTTTCCCAATATTATCCCATCATTGTGAATTGAACAGTAATATTTTCAATTTTTTCAAATATAATATCTCYGGAAATGGGATTCGATGATATTTTTAATATAGTGCTGCTTTGCTATTAACATCTATAATATCTAGAAAGGATTAGTGTACAAGWACATTTTCAGTTTTGTATCAAAAGCAATATGGAAAATCAATCAGTAACATGAATTTTGTTGGATCTTTGACACATTGCTGAGTTATTTGTATTGTTCTGCGAATAATATGCAAAATTTGAGAATAATGATGACAAATCTTATAACGATTAATATTTAAGAATTCATTTTTTCAGTTTTTCACTGAAAATCAAGCACTATTACAGTTTTTTTTCCATTGTGAATTAATCCACTCGCCATTAGCAACTCCCACCACAGAATCCCAATGGACAGTATTGCGTGCATGCCTCCCTTGACTTTCTCGTATGTACGTACCCTGATTGCGGCAGCTCTCGACAAAGAAAAATACGTCTACAGTTTTGGCTTGGTGATTGACACTCTGCACATGTCCATGCAAAATTTCATTTTGTTCACCCTGGATAAGGACCATGTCATTTTCCTTGCAATACACAGGGACAACAACTTCAGAAAGTAACTTCTTCATATGCCTTTGATAGTCTACTACCAAACCTGCTGATTCAATTTCTTTACAGTTGTGAGACAATTTAACATACTGCTTCACAGCTCTTTCAAATGTAGCGCACCAATAATTATCAGGTGCTGAAAAGGTATTAATGTCTTCATGTATGTGCACAAGSTTGTGTAATGATATGGTACACATATGCAACCCTTGCAATTCTTCAACAAGAATGTTCAACTTCCAAGCCAAGATCAATCATTTTCTGATTCCACGCTCTTCTTCCGCTAACGAAATGCATTTCAGCAAGCCTGGAGATTAATGATTGAATTTCTAATTCTTTCTCATTGGTGATGATGTCCCTAAATATACAGTCTGCCATGGGAAAAGAAAATGTCCTTAAACCTTCTGCTTTCCAATGACCTGGACCTGAACATTTTCCAAGGGGAGTAGATATTCTTCCATTTTGTAGACCCTTTGTCCATTGAAAGTCTTTTATTTCAGCATCCAAGAAAGATTGGTCAATAACTTCCTGCTCAAGAAGTCTTTCAAGATGTTTTTTTACCACGTTCAAAGGTATTGTATGAAAAATATCATACGTCAAATGCTTTAAGATGTCAAATTCATAAAGTGGATAAAGATATTTGTCGAGAATACTTGTCCCAGTGAAGCCTTTTGCTGAACTCAGGGATTTTCTAACACTTACTCTATTTTCATTATCAATGTTGAGSATATCATCTATAGAAGATTTAATGGATCTTCCTTCCCAAGGATATCTGTAATAATAACGATTTTCACCGTAATACATATGTGTATTTGAACTATTTTGAAGTTGCTGGCCAACCAGTTTGCATCTTCTGCAGGGGCAACATCCTTGGTTTAAAATCTTGCCTACCTCGCATTGGCCAGGATGGTCACCACTCCAGCACAGAAGTAGAATTCTAACAGTTTCTTCATCACAAACAAAATAATCATCAACTTGTACATCACGAGGATAACATACTTTAAAGCCATTGATAAACTCTTCACAAWGATCAGTCATAAGAGGCTTTAGAAATGGATCAAGTGTTTCAGGTAACTTGGGAACTTCTGAACTTGGCACAAACCCTAAAMCATATACTTCAGCTACATGGTTCCTGTCATTCTTGGTCATGTTTGCGATTGTGACTTCGATAGAACCACATCCTTTATAACTTGTGCCGAATGGCTGCCACCCATCCCAGTGGCCAATAAGTGCTAAGTTTAAAAGTGAACCATGTTCAGTCTTGATAACGTGCTGAAAATCAGTGTAGCAATTGGGACAATCCACATGTTTTGTACCAGATACACTTCAGATTTAAGTAAGTGATCGGCAGATACAGGTATTTCACAAAATGGGCATATAGTTGGTAATGGCCAGGCACTAGTAGGATCCCAGAACCATTTGAGCTCTACCCATCTATCTCCATCCCAAATTTCAGTTTTTTGAGCATTGCTTATATCAAATCTAAGCCAATTGTCTCGAGCGTGCCAGTGAGAGAGCATTTTTTTGCACATTTCTTTGTTTTTAGACCAGTGTGGAGACCTAGATAGTAGTACTTGATATATCCTCTTTTTTTGGCAATAGCTACACAATTCATGCTTGCCCTCCATGACACTGAATTTTCCTGAATTTTMCTTTTATTTGTTTTGCCTTTTCTTTTATATTCCTTTTCCTCACCACAATTACAAATATAATACAACTTTGCATCTTCATATCCCTCTTCTTCTCAGTGCAATTTTTGCACTGAGTTCCAGTTTTTGGGCCACAAAGTTAATATAATTTCCCGATCAACACTGGTGTTATCGATTCTGGCTAGAAGAAGWTTTTTTCCATAGTTTAAAATGTCTTGGAATGTTTTGAGAGATGCACCACTGTCCCTGGTTATGGAGAGAGCATCTATAACTGCGTTGATCACCAAAGTTTTCAAAGGGTTGTAGTCTTGGTTGACTGAATTAGAGCGACCAGCATCGTTAATAATATCACTCTCTTGTTGTTCAACATCATGCACTTCAACATTTTCTTCGGAAACTCCAGGGAGAATTATTTCTTCGTCAGGGACAACAAAACGAACGCACAATYCAACCAATGATTCACGATCTTCACGAAGCTGTGGTTCATTTCTGAGCGCTCTAGATGCAAGTTGTGAATCTTTCCAATGGCGAGATTCACTATGCCGATCAACAGCTTTTCCATTACAAGACTGGAAAGGGCAATGGACGTGGCGGTATGATTTATCGGAACAGTTACAAGATGAAATGTTGCTTCTTTTCCACACTATACTGCAGTCCGCCATGACTGCCAAATAACACAGGAAACCCAAAGCACTTACACAAATATAACGTTTAGAAAATTATGTTGAATATGATGATGATAATAGAACAATACTATGCATTATGAAAAGGAAGAAGAGTTTGAAGCGCGAAAATACACCAATCAAAAATAAGATTCCAGCGAGGTACGGGAATGTTGTGATAACGAAGGACATCTTGTCCTGTTCCTTTATATGAGTTCTGGGTGGTTTTCTTCAACGATGACTTCTGATTATAGTAACAAGTCTAACCAAAGTAATGGTGATAACAACCTGCATGCTAACAATGACAATTTATCAGACGTAATCACAAAGAAGCTGGAGGAGCTGTTTGATGAAGCTATTGTGTCCAAATGTAAAGGTATAAAAGAACACTCTTCTTAGATAAGCTTAAATAAGCATAAAATTTAACCGCCAAAATGATTTCAAGTTTTTTTGTAATACAGACGAAGATGTTACATATAAAGAAGCCATCCAAGACTTACTTTCAAAAGAGGCAGATTCGCCAATTTACACAAAACTGGGTCTCAATTATGGTAAAGCCATTCGCTTTAGAAACGAGTTTTCCAAATTGTTCTCGCCAACAACATTAACATTGGCCAAAGGCAAAAACAAACGTTCGATGGGAAAATTGGAGTCATGCACGCCAGAGATGAAACGACTCTACCTTCAAAAGTAAGCTATTTGGTTGTACTGAAGAATATATTTGTTATTTAAAAAAAATAATGCATATTTAATGCATATTTAATGCATATTTAAGACATAGAGCGCAAAGTGTGAGTCCATGTGATTTGGATTGTTGGATACCAACGAAGTTCCATCTCAAAAATCTTTAGCCATCCGAAGTCATCCTACATTAAATTCACATTAAAGTATATCTTTTCGTTATGTAAGTTTTTTTTTTCTAAGAAAAGTGTGAACATTTTTGCTTTGATTTGCTGACCTTTGTATATGCTAAGTAAACCACCTATCCAATTGACATGGCTGCCATGAATCAAGCATTCATTTAAGGAGTGGTCCTGGGAAATTAAAGTTGGGGTGTAATTTTGTTGAAATGTTATTTGAGTGATGAGGTAGGGTGGGTCGACCATTACAATATTCCAGGCCTATTATTTTGTGGGTTTTCATTTTTTGGAGCAAACATTTCTCTGGTCCACCAACCACCTAAAAATGAATGCACCCTAAGATTTTATGGTACAAAATAGWAATAAACAGTTTATGATAGATGATCATTTAATAATCCAAGTATTGCTGTACAGTTAGACTGTTTTCAAATTAAATTAAACCTGCTAAATCATTTGATTAAAATTTCCTCATTTTCAACTGAAGACGTAAAAGAGTTGTCACTTTAACAAAGACGCACTGGAAAAATGATTTTCCCAAGTTTCACACACCAGAAAGCAAGGCGGAACTGCTCGAGTTTGCAGAATCCATTGAACAGGATTGTGCCATACCTGGCATAGGTTTTGGTATTGATGGAATATGTGATCACATAAGATCATACTTTAGTGAGCAAAGGAGATACAGTAAGGTAACTACAAATATAAAATTTGACTTCGACAATATTTTGAATGAAATCAAAAGAAACATAGTTTTGTGTAAATAATTTCATATTACGTTTTTCATCTCCCTTAGTATGGKTTTTCACAGTGTTTTTCTTCTGTAAGCTACATCCCTGTGCTTAAATTTCTACTTATTTACTACTWCTATATTATAAAACCAATCAGAGCATGTACTGTATATATTTCAGTTCAGAAGATCATCTGAAGAATCAAGTGATTCATCATCAGGCAATGGGGACACCCCTCCAGAGCCAAGAATGACCATGGTATGTGTTGCTGTGCCAGGTTTATCCATGATTATTCATTCTTTACATTGAATCACATATACAGTGATATACTGAAAAGGAATGCTGCATGTGTGAGAGTAAAACACTCAGTTTAATTCTCTTAAATGGTGGAAATTAAGCACTTTTYTCTTTCTTATTTTGAAGGTTGCACCAGCTAGCCAAAAAAGAAATGATCWTTCTTTGGTTAATCACGAGGTAAGAGATTGAGTTCTAATGGTTCTGTTTTCATGCAAGGGTTGATATCCTATGCCTTAGCAATATTCCTACCACCTGGCAGCAGTAGTCCTTGGACACTCTTTCAATTCTTATATTTTGGTCATTTGTTCTTGAAAGGCCTGGAATTTGTCTTGRGGCTCCTAAATTTTAAGATCTGAATTTGTTTCTCTTTTCTTGTCTGATTTTCTCTATTTCTTTGTTATAACAAAAGAAATGTAATTTTCTATTTTACTATATATTCTATAGTGGTTTGTGCCATGAAGAGAGAGGTTGGACTGAATTTACAATGAAATTCTGTCTAAAATTTCAAAAAAATGGTGTCAAATAATGTGCATGGCTCTAAAAATACTGGACATTTCAAGAATTAGTAATTTTATGATAATTTATTTAACAGGATTCACAAAACCTTGATGATAGTGATGCCACAATGGATTGCGAAACTGTACCACTTTACCCTTCATCAGATGATGAAGAAGAACAGAGTGAAGTGCTTTTGGYCCCATCAAGTCAGAAAMACTTACCAGCACCACCAAAYRTTTTAYACAACAAGACATCATGTGGAGTTATTCTAAAGAAAGTATTGGGAACAATCCCAGAAAGGGGACCTCTAATTAAACTGTTAACAACCAAGTTCAAGGTACAAACATCGAGTCTTACAGCCCTAAACTATTTGGAAGWGTGTGAAGTGCTAAGTAGGAAGCTGGTATCAGCAAATTATGTTCAGATTAAAGCTGGTTCTAGAGAAACACTAAAGAATTCGGATATATATGTAATCAAAGAGATTGATTAGGTTAGTGGTGCATTAGTGTACATACTGTGTGCATTACACTTAATATCCGATATTTTTGATACTGCTTGTTGATATTGTTATTGTWATGGTGCATGGCTTGTAAAGTAAAGAAACTTACTGACAATTGTTTTTGATCAAATAAAAGTGAAATCATTCCAGATTAGATGATCTCTGAACATTTATTGTGTCAAATGGGAAATACACTTAGTGCCATGTATGGGGGATATGATAATCCAATGATAGGGGGGTACTTGGGAAATAACTATTCCCATAGTTGAGAATTGATGTTTTATATTGGGAACAATTTGGGACGTGATAACCATTATTGGGAAAAAATGTGGAACGTGACTAACCCATTATYGGGAACAATTCGGGATGTGATAAACTCCTTTTTGGGAACAATTTGGGAAGTTCTAAACCCAGTATTGGGAACAATTTGGCACGTGATAAATCCATTATTGGGAACTATTCATGACGTGATAAATCCATTATTGGGAACAATTCGGGACATGATAAACCCCTTTTTGGGAACTATTCGGGACGTGATAAACCCATTATTGGGAATTATTCGGGACGTGATAAAAAACAGTAAAAACCCAATATGGGAATTGGTAAATTTTTCCTGTGAATGTAGCAAGGTAGCAATGTAGCAGTGTAGCTATGTAGCTATGTAGCATTGTAGCAATGTGGCAGCGTAGCAGTGTAGCAGCGTAGCAATGTGGCAACGTAGCAGTGTTGCAGTGTAGCAACGTAGCAGTGTAGCAATGTAGCAACGTAGCAGTGTAGCAACGTAGCAATGTAGCAACGTAGCAGTGTAGCAACGTAGCAATGTAGCAGTGTAGCAACGTAGCAGTGTAGCAACGTAGCAATGTAGCAACGTAGCAGTGTAGCAATGTAGCAGTGTAGCAACGTAGCAGTGTAGCAACGTAGCAATGTTGCAGTGTAGCAGTGCAGTATTGTAGCAATGTAGCAGCATAACATTGTAGCAGCATAGCATTGTAGCTGTGTAGAAATGTAGCCAAGTAGCAGCGTAGCACTGTAGCACTGGAAAAAATCGCGCGACGTGAACCCTGTAAAAACCCTGGGAATTCGATTTACGGGATATTTACAAGGTATGTAAATATCCGGTGTTTGTTCAAAATTCTGTAAATAACCTGTAAATTCAGATTTAAGGGATATTTACAGGGTTTCATTTACACGAATTTTACGGGAAATTAACGTAAAAACTCTGTAAATTTGATGTGAATTCAATTTACATAGTTTTTTACACTAAATTTACGTAGTTTTTAAAGTATTCTCGAATAAAACGAATGAAATCGTTCGATTTTGCCATTTTAAAACATGCAAATATATGCAAAAACTCCAAAGCGAGGTGAATAATTTTTTTGAAAACCAAGATGGCGGTCATACTTGTCAATTTTTGCATTGAAAGCAGTGATTTGCACTTTAAGTGTGTCAGAAAAAAGTGTACATTTCAAAATATAGCGAAGATTTAATCTTTGATGGTGAAGGCTTCAATGAAGGCACTCAAAAGATCTATCAACTGGCCTGGGTGACTACAACGGGTTCGGCATGAATTAATCCTTCTCTGTGACATCCCGAAAAGCAAAGGTGAGTGAACGTAGTCCAAAAAAGCGCTTTGATTTTTACTGTCTATAAAGGAAGCTAAAGAAAATTGATTTTTTAATTGAAAATTTAAAAACTTTAATAAATGCCTTAAAATGTGAGTTTCTTTTAGCTTAAGCTTTCAAGAAGAATATTTAAAAAAAGTGTTGTGTTCCCTGACCTCTGAATTTGACATGGCAGGAGATGGAAACTATTATAAATTTGTTAATTTTGAGATACTCAACTTATTTAATCACTTATTTGATGTCTTATGAATTTTTTGTAGGTTTCTGTGTTGTGCTACTTTGATGTGCTTAAACAAGTCTGTATGGTGTAGGAAATGTTCTCTCAAGTCAAGTCTGAAACACAATCGGTAATTTACTCACAAGACAGGTTCTTATATTAGTAAGAGTCTTGTATTTTTTGTCAAGATTGAGGAATGTCAATGCTGACATAACAAAATCATGTGTCACAACACATACCCGACACATTATATTTGCTGGTATAGGATGGATGTATCAGTACCCGAGACCTTTACAGGACCATTCCTTTCATAAGGAATACTAATGAAGATTTTTTTTATCAGATTGAGATATGAAGGTTCGTGTTAGGGAAAGTACATTTATTGTGCCAAGGGGAGGTATGAGGATGTTGAAGAGGGCCTGCCTAAAAAAATTGAATAAATTCTCTCTTTAAAAACTTTGACGAGCCAAAACAGGGGCTCAGAAAATAAGATGTCTATATGACATCCTCAATCCTCCCCTCCCGACCACAACTACCACTCATCAATAGTGTATGTACTTTTCCTTAAACAATTGTTTAATAGGCTAATCCAACTTTTCATATTGATTTGAGTGAGAAAATACATGTKACATGATTTTTAGGGCTGGAGTGCCAGCTCTAGGGGAGGGTCACATTTTCACTCAAAAGCATATCTAGAGAAGGTTCTTCAACTAGTTTTTAGGTTTTAACCTAGTATACCCATGGTTCTATTTAAAATTTATTATCTCCAACATGAAAGCATTTGACTAAGATATCTGTCATCAATTCTTGAAAATTTTTCAGAAACAGAGCAATCAGTGCAAACAATTCGCTGCTCTCATTCCGTACTGTCAAGACCTTGGGCAGTGTTTTCCTATACGGACCTCCCAGCTGGTAAATAACATATTTATTTCATACTTGATTCAGTTTTCTTTGTTATTCATAGTGTTGTATCTCGCTTATTCCACAGCTCATTGTGTATTYAAGTGCTTTATATCGAAGTTTCAGGGGTATATCTAAATATTGCCCCCATTTGAGGGCAATATCTATATATTGCCCTTGAATACATACTAGTTATTAACCGAGAGTGAGGCCATTACAGGGAAATCTCAGACCGAGGTCTTGGAAGTATGGACCGAGCAATAGCGAGGATCATACAAACAAGACCGAGGTCTGAGATTTCCCTGTAAGGACCGAACGGACGAGGTTAATAAGTTATTTATTWTATGGCTCTCTTAGTAAAAAATAAATTATAAAATATATAACGTGAACAGRATAAAAGAACGGAAGTGATTTAACACTTCCGCTTGCGTGCGCATTTGTTCATTCAATGTCATGTCCATTATCGAAAAARTACAACAATTTGTTTGAAAATGTGTTTAATATAGCACAATTTATGTCACAAAACCGTTTTTATTCCACAAAACACGGTAATTTAGCTTAAAAAGTTTCAGAACATCCAAAAGTTTGTAAAAATAGTTGGAAAGTACGTCAAAATTAAGACGATTGAAAACGTCAACACGTGCAGACCTTGCAGTGATTTTAGCGAATTTTCAATTTTCATCGTCACTGTCGATGATATAACGTCGTTTTTTCCGTTGTTGGATCTTGACTGTACCATTGAAAATTTTGAATGGACAGTCGGATATTTTGCTGATGTTGGCTCCACCTAAAATGCTACTTAAAGCACTTTGATTTGATGTATGAACTGCGARGGAAGTGGTTGACTCAACTGGTTACTTGAGGACGGCAAGCATGACAGCTTAGAAATGCTCGATAAGTATTCACCATAATTTAAAGATAGCTCAAAAAGGATTGTATTGGAAGAAAAAAACGATGTCAAGATGTAAAAGCTCAAAAGATATACCTCTACAGACTACTCAAAACAAAAGTGAAAATTCAAACCGGTGTCTTGACAAGAAAAGCTGAGAATGAAATCCTCCTCTTAAAAATTCAATGAGCTCGTTGACTTGAAAAAAGAGCAAAAACCTGGAAGTCCAGTTGAAGGAATTTTGAGTCAGTGTGAACTCGTTCAAATGCTAAGCTTTCTCAATGAAAACAGCTGACAGGCAAACTTTCAAGTACTTCGTGGGACATAACCGTCGTCTATCAAGTTTACTTTTGCAATTGCTCAATGCAATAACTCCTCGGTTGCTGG